AGGTCAGTGGACTGTCCACTGACCTTACGTGTCGCAGGCTATGATAACAATGGGCTGCTTTCGAACATTTCATTTTGGAAACAAATATCGTGATGTTCCTTTCGGCCCAGCGTTATCATAGTAAACTTAAAATTATTTTGCATTTGTACTAAAGGTTTTTATCTTATTTATTTTTTAAATTATTTTTTCTTTAATGTTTTATTTTAAATTCAATTTTTTTCTTGGATTGCTTTTACTTTAATTTTTTTTTTAATTTTACTTTTATTTTTTTATTATGCTATGATAACAATGCTATGATAACAATGGGCCACCATAGTACACCACTTGAACATTGTTCCAGACAAATGCATATCTCCCTTACAAGGTACTGCTGCTAACACTGTTTCATTTCAAGCAAATCTCTTGGAGTGATTTACCAGATGGAATACCGAACGTGCTTCAAGTGCTGTTCAAGAACCAGAAACCTCACACTCTTTGTACACTTGCAATATTTCTTTTAGAGAAAACTCTGTATAGTGTGCAGAGGAGTCTACGTAATGAAGCATTCCTTCCGAATTTCACTCCACTAGGCATGTTCTCTGGCGAACGTATGTGGGTGTAGAATATTTACACACAAAATCAGATTCCCATGCTGAAAAATAACTAGAGGCGTTTGAACATTACAAAAGTTCCAAGACCGACCTAGTGGAGGACACAGAAGTGCAAGATCTGACACTTACCCTTACCCTTACCAAAAGACTCCTCAGATAATGACAGTGGAACGGGGTAGTTTTTAAATCACCATCAAATAAGAAACAAGACAAAAACAAACAGAAAAGTGAAACCGACAAAGCATCAAACGGGTTAAATGTTTTTTTTTTTAAGGATGACAGTAGCTTTGGTGTGGACTCTGTAGGTGTCCCAGGCTGGGACAGAGTCATTAGGCTGGCAAGTGCGCTCCTCAACGTGGGCGAATTTGTGACGAATGCAGAAGTGGAGAGCATTACATGCACCTACACTGACCTTTCTGAATACAACTGAAAGCCCTAACATTTGCGCCCCGTATTAAAAAAAGGGGAAGGGAAGAGTTTAGAAGTTAAAAAACAGATCTTCACACATTGGTGTGGAGTCGATGGCCAGGTATTACCCTTAACCAATGTGTAATTCTGAATTACGTGTAGTTTCTTTCAGTAGTAATCATCCGAAGATGGAGACTGTTGATTCTTGATAAACTTAGCTAGAAACTAGTAACACAGAGGTTTTGACATTGAAACATATAACAGGGATCAATATTAAAAAAAGTCTAGTGAACAAAGGTAAAACCAATTTAATCATATTTCTCAATCTTCAGATCTTTTGTGACAGCTGGACCTTCGAAAAGTAGAGTTGAGGAGGCTATCTGCGTCAGGCTATGTAACATTTGCAAAGGAAGACGAGGCACTGGGCCACATGACCCTTATCAATCAAAGTGGAAAGTGGTCATTGTAACGGTATCGATGTTACTGTTCTATTTACTTTCAGTCCACATTTACGTCATAACTACCATGGCAACAAAAGTTTAGAAGCCATGCTTTCCGGTTGTTACGTTTTGTCGGACACCGATTAAACAAGAGCTGTTTTATCTCACCTGTGTGTGTGTATGTTCTTCCTATAAACAACAGTATATGGTGTCAGTGATTTGGGATTCTTCCTAAAGAATCGTTGCTGAAATACTTGAGTGCATTTCCAAACCAAACCCAGTGAATCTAGCTACAGATGGCCGAGTCAGGCTCGTTGAGTGTAGCGTCAACAAGCACGCTGCCAGCAACTCCTCAATTTATCCAGTCCTCTATTCCTTTACCATCGAAACTAGACTTCAAGGGAACTTAGCTGTGAATTGGAAGACATTTAAGCGGCTTAGGACAAACTACGAGATCGCCCCACGGCTCAGTACGCAAAGTAGTAATCTTCGAACACCCACATTATTGACATGTATTGGCCCAGATATCCTGGAGATTTACGATGGTTTGCCCTTCGGAAATGAAGAGGAGAAAACCGACAATGACAAAGTGATAGAGCACCTAAACGCCTTTTTCATCGGTGAGACGAATGAAATATATGAAGCCTATTTGTTCAATCAGAGAGTACAGGAGGTCGGTGAGTCATTTGATGTTTTCCTTACAGCTTTACGTTCGTTAGCTAAAACATGCAATTTTGGTATCATGCAAGAGTGAATGATTAGAGACAGAGTTGTGGTAGGAATTAGAGATAATGCCACTCCAAAAAAGCTGCTACCTGAGAACAAACTAACTCTTAACAAGTGTATTGATATTTGCCGTGCAAGTGAAACCACATCCAAACAACTCAAGGAGATGTCCCATGCGGAGGAGGTTAGCGCCGTTGCCACAGGCCACCCAAAATCGAAGATAGGTTTACGCCATAATAAAGTATGAAATCTCAGTAAAGTTCAACTCCCCTTCCACAACAAAGTAACAGAACCAGTTAGATGCAAGTTCTGCCACAGAACCCATCCTCTAAAAAAGGAACTCTGTCCAGCATGGCAGCACAAGTGTGATAATTGCGGTGGAATGATCCACTTCTCAGTGGCTTGCAGAGGTCAGAAAGCTAACAAAAAGCAAACTAAGAAGTCAGTTCACAATGTAGACCAAGAAGTTCAGAAGTTTAACAACCAAGATACAGATGATTACTTATTCAGTGTAGAATCAGTGAGCGTCCTTTATGCAAAAAAACAGTCCTAAGAAGATTTATGCTAACATGCACTTGAGGAATGAAACAGTGAAATTCCAATTAGACTGTGGAGCAACAGTCAATATCCTCCCAGCAGATATTTGTCAGCAGATATTTAAAGATCTGTAGATGGAACGCCTTCAGCCTACTCAAACTACCCTCGTCATGTTCAACAAATCAGAGCTGAAACCTCTAGGATGTACTAAGGTCGAGACCTTCAGCCCCAAGAATGGACAGTGTTTCCTCACGGAATACACCGTCGTTCCAACAGGTCACACAGCACTCCTCGGTGCTGAATCGGTGCAGCAGTTTGGCCTCATCCTGATTAACACCGATAACATCATGTCTCCCTCGAATGAGATTCCCACACAGCTGGATCTCATGAGCAAATTCGGAGATGTCTTCTCAGGAGAAGGAAAGCTCAAAGGGAAGCTTCACCTCGAGATTGATAAGTCTGTAACCCCTGTGGCACTGCCAGTGAGGAAAGTCTCCTTTGCAGTAAAAGAGCCTTTAAAACAGGAACTAGAACACTTAGTTGATAGGCATCCTGCAACCAGATGTTCCAACAGATTGGATTTCCTCAATGATAGTCATTAAGAAGAGCAATGGAAAGGTAAGGCTATGTATTGACCCAAAACCTCTGAATAAAGCACTCAGGAGAAATCATTTTCCCCTTCCAGTGATCAATGATCTACTACCGCTGCTTACAAATGCTAAAGTCTTTAGTGACGTAGACACAAAAAATGGATTTTGGCATGTGCAGCTCGACGATGAAAGCAGTCTTCTGACCACATTTGGTACCCCCTGAGGAAGGTTTCGCTGGACCCGGATGCCCTTCGGCATATCACCCACTCCGGAAGAATTTCAGAGGTGATTGGAATACGCCCTGGAAGGTCTTGATGGAATTAAGCCAATATTTGATGATATCCTTGTTTTTGGTGTCGGAGAAACAGAAGCTGAAGCACTTTCTGACCATGATGCAAAGCTGACAGCATTGTTAGAACGCTGTCGCGCTACTGGCATTAAGTTGAACAAGGAGAAGCTTAAGCTCTGTCGCAAAGAAGTGAAGTTTATGGGACATGTTATATGTCAAGATGGTCTTAAGCCTGACCCAGACAAGGTACAAGGTATGAAAGAGATGCCAACCCCGACCAGCAAACAAGATGTCAAGAGACTTCTCAGCATGGTAAATTACCTCCAGAAGTTCGCTCCTAACCTGTCAGAAGTTACAGTCCCAATGAGAGACCTTTTGAAAGAAGGGAACCAGTTCCGTTGGGATGAGCAAGTACAAGGATGTAGTTTCAAGCGAGTTAAGGAGATACTCTCAGCTGCCCCTGTCCTCAAGTATTTTGACCCCAAAGATGACGTGGAATTGCAGTGTGATGCATCAGACAGAGGACTTGGTGCATGTCTTATGCAAGGAGGCCAGCCCGTGGCTTATGTATCTCTTTCTATGACAGAAACAGAAGGGAACTATGTCCAGATAGAGAAAGAGATGCTTGCAACACTTTTCGGAGTAGAACGTTTTGAGCAGTGTGTGTACGGTCGACCTCTCAAGATCCAAACTGACCACAAACCCTTGGAGAGCATCTTCCGTAAAAGTCTACACAGTGCCCCTAAACGTCTTCAGCGAATGTTGCTAAGATTGCAGAAGTTTGACCTCCAAGTGTCTTACAAAAAAGGGACTGAAATGTATCTGGCAGATACACTGAGCAAAGCATACAGAGTGCGCAAGAGCACAAGAGACGATGTAGCAGAAGATGTTATGTACATAGAGGAGATGAGAGGAGACACCGAAAGAGAATTAGAGCATATCAATATGATAAACTACTTGCCAGTATCGGAACCATCGCTGACTGATATTCAGCAAGCAACAGAACCTGATGCTACCCTGAAAGAGCTTAAGACAACAATCAGAAGAGGCTGGCCAGCTACCAAGGCAGAGGTATCAGCGAACATCAGTGGTTATTTTACATTTCGGGACGAGCTGTCTTTGCAGAATGGACTGGTCTTCAAAGGTGACAGACTAGTTATCCCTATGAGCGTGAAAGCTCACATATTGCCTAAGATCCACCGGAGCCACATCGGCATCCAAGGCTGTCTCAGAAGAGCAAGAGAAGTAGTTTACTAACCAGGGAGATGAGCAAAGATGTCGAAGATTATGTAGCGAAGTGTACCGTTTGCAACAGCCAGCCTGTAGAGCAACGAAAAGAGCCAATGATTGTCGCGAACTGCCTAGTAGACCATGGGAGAAAATCGCAGTTGATCTTTTTTATCTGAACGGTGCAGATTTCATGGTGACCGTTGACTACTATTCAAGCTTCTTTGAAGTTGACAGAATGACAAGAAAGACAGCACACGAAGTTGTGAAGAAGTTGAAAGCCCATCTCGCACATCATGGAATTCCCGACCAGCTTGTATCAGATAATGGGCAGCCCTTTTCTTCTGCAAAGTTCCAACAGTTCGCAGACACGTATGGTTTTGAACATATTACAAGCTCTCCAACATATCCTCAGTCCAACGGCAAAGTCGAGAACACGGTGAAGCCAGCAAAACATCTGCTAGAAAAAGCCGTCAACTCTGAACAAGACCCATATCTTGCCCTGCTGGACTGGACAAACACTCCTACAGAAACACTCAACTCCTCACCTGTTCAGCGATTATTCGGTAGAAGAACAAAGACTCCACTCCCAACCTCAAACCAATTGCTCAAGCCGAAGCTACAAGAGGAGGTTGATCAGAAGTTAAAGCTACAGAAGGCTAAACAATCCCTGTATTACAACTAAGGCGCCAAAGAACTGAAGGAAATGCAGCCAGGAGACACAGTGCGATTGCAGCCACTAAAATCCCACTTGGGAAAGAAAAAGGATTGGACCAAAGCAAGAGTCAAAGGCAAAGTCGACATAAGGTCCTATTAACTCAGAACAGAAGATGGAAGAGTTTATAGGAGGAACCGCAGACACCTGAGACATACACGCGAAGTGATGCCACACAGTCAAGATGGGATGAGATTATCCCCAAAAGCAACACCAATTTCTGCTACTGCAAATTATGGTGATGAAATACCATTGGTACCACCTTTCATGCCAAGTACTGCAGTCAGTAAGGACCAATCAGAAACAATACCTTTGCAGAGCATGGACAAGCCACATCCGGAATATCCACTTCAGCCTGCAGCAGATAAGCGGGAGATTTCCCCACCGGTGACCAACCTATGAAGGTTGCCAAGATTCGGGGCAAAAAACAAATGTACTCATGGGAGAGGTAGAAGCATGGACGGTAGTGAAATATTCAGAACGATGGAATGACATTCGTTGTAAATGTAGATGTAAAAGACTCAATAAAGTAAATTGAACTGAACGATGTTGTTTATTAAATACTATACAGCGAAAAAGTAATACCTGAAAAATAGCAACAACATAAATGAATGGCAGCTTCTGAGATATTTACACGTGGTGGATAGGGTGTAAAGCCGTGACAAACATGGCGCATTACATCGTAAATACAATTACACTGTACAAAAAATTCAAAATGATTATATACAATAAAGAGTTCACGATCTGACGGGATGTCTTATAAGAAAAACTTTACAAAATCAAATAGTTGTCCATATTGTCACACCAGAAAAGTAAACAGTGGTGGTCTCCAGGAAAAAAGTTATAAAGAAAAAGCTAGTATTGCACCATGCACGGAATGGACTTATTCAGCAGGAACACTATAGAACGAAATACAAATAGGTGATAAATAGACACGGCATAAATGATCGGATGAATCTAACATTTCTACTCGTGCCAGTTGAAGTGCAAAACGTACATGTGTCACGATATCTTAAAAACAATTACCTTATATAATAAAGTCATAATTACTATATACAAGAAAGAGTTTCCAATTGAGAGGAATATCAGACAAGAAATACTTTACAAAATAAAGTAACTGTAATGAATAAAAGCGAATATCACGCCAACCATTACTAAAGGCACTTCCTAACCCTAACCCTAACCCTAATTAGTTTGAATCACTGTCGATTTTCCCTCTCCTAGCCCTTTTTGCCTGTAAAAAACTTGGGATTTGTTTTTTCAGGTTTTACTGTAGTGTACATATACATTCGGGTTACTTCTAATCTTTTGCAAAGTTTTATCCAAATTGAATAAATCACAAAGAAATGAGAGAGGTATCAAAGAGAGTTCAGAGGGGGCACTCAACACTTGGAAGAAATGCATAAAATAAATCCCAAGTTTGTTTAAGAATGTTGACAGGTTCTTCCTCTCATCACGTACACCAGCTGGGATTTTTTTTAAGCGATTTGGTTCTATATTTTTAAGGACTAGAGTTATGGGAAAGATATCCCCTCCCTATGGTGGAGACCCGCTCCCTATTGTCGAGATGCGCTCCCTATGGTCGATATCCCCTCCCTAGGTCGATTTCCGCTCCCTATGGTCGATATCCCCTCCCTAGGTAGATTTCCGCTCCCTATGGTCGATATCCCCTCCCTAGGTCGATATCCTTTCCCTGTAGGACGAATTCCCCTCTAACCAGTTTTTTTTTTTCAATTTCTTTACAGGAATTTCATAAAACAGCAAGACATTGTTATCACTAACAATTTGGTGTTACAGAGAGCTTCAGAAGCGGTAAGTGCACACGTTTTAAGTTCTGTTATGGTTGGGGTTAGTCTAGCCCTAACCCTAGCCCAAAGAGTACATCGCTTTTAGAGCTTGCAGACCCTTTATTTGAAATTTTTGATGTTATTTCATCCTTTTTCATGCTCCAAGGAACCGTTTGGTGCTTCTTTTGTCAAAATCGGTTCCTCTGTTGTGTACGGGCTAGGGTTGCGCTTAGGGTAGGGGTTAGGCTAAACGCGAAAACGATGAGTTTATTAGGAGAAAGATCAAAATTGTATTTTTTTTCATTTAGCATGTGTGGAGCTATGAAGCGTATTTCGTGACATGTGACGTAATGTTGACGTCACATGTCACGAAATACCTGTCATAGCAACAGACACCCACAATGATAAAAATGCAATTTCCTTTGTAATGAAGCGTATTTCGTGGTGTCTGACGTCATAACGACGTCACATGTCACGAAATCTCCGTCATAGCAACAGACACGCGAAGTGAAGAAACTGCAATTTGGATGGCAATGAAGCGTATTCCGTCATGTATGTCGTTTTCTTAAGGTTTCTCATGCTTCATTTTCCCAAAGTACCTTAACTTAGACATGTTTAATAAGGTCTCTGCAAGAGGAACACTTTGATATGTACAAAACTCTGTAACTCCTTAATGGGCATGCTCAGCTAAATAGGTCCAAAACGAGGGGAGGTCCACCAAAGTGGGTTTTTCCTAAGTTTGTCAAGCTTCATTTTACCAAACCACACTAATGTTGACATGGTTGGGAAGGTCTTTGCGAGAGGAACATTTTGATATGTATAACATTCTCGTACCTCTCAACGCCCATGCACTACAGAGCTCAATAGGTTAAGAAACGAGGGGAGGTGCACCAAACTGCTTTTCTTAAGGTTTCTCATGCTTGATTTTCCCAAAGTACCTTAACTCAGACATGTTTAGAAAGGTCTCTGGAAGAGGAACACTTTGATATGTACAAAACTCTGTAACTCCTTAATGGGCATGCTCAGCTGAGTAGGTCCAAAACAAGGGGAGGTCCACCAAAGTGCGTTTTTCCTAAGTTTGTCGAGCTTCATTTTACCAAACCACACTAATGTTGACATGGTTGGGAAGGTCTTTGCGAGAGGAACATTTTGATATGTATAACATTCTCCTCCCTCTCAACGCCCATGCGCTACACAGCTCAATAGGTTAAGAAACGAGGGGAGGTCCACCAAACTGGTTTTCTGAACGTTTCTCATGCTTCATTTTCCCAAAGTACATTAACTTAGACATGTTTAGAAAGGTCTCTGCAAGAGGAACACTTTGATATGTATATGAACTGGATTACGTTACACATATGAAGCTTCTTGGAGTAGTCATCGACAATTCACTCTCTTTCAACATACACATTAAAGAAGTTTGCCGGAAAGTGAATACAAAAGTTTCAATTCTCCGTCGCATTCGTAAATTTATACCCTCAGATGTGATGATTAAATTGTACAAAGCTTTCATTCTCCCTCACTTCGAATATGCATCACCACTGTTTATAGGTCTAAGTAAGGGTCTGTCTGCGAAACTGGAGTCAACCAATGCATTCGCTCTGAGGACTCTTCTCAATTATTCTAAGTCGACTGCTTACGAAGAGTTATTGAAAACTGCAAATATTAAAAGTTTAGAACATCGACGCATAGAACAAGCACTTATACTTGTATATAAAAGTATTCATAACCAGACACCGAACTACATTCAGGAATTGTTTTCTCTGCGAAGTAATGGTTACAGCCTACGTGGCCATCTTAAGGTTGTTCTTCCAAGACCAACCTCATCTTATATGCAACATTCTTTTACGTACCAGGCTAGCAAACAATGGAACAATCTGACAGACAAAATAAGGATGTCGGAATCCCTTTCTATATTTAGGAAAAATTTGCAAGACATACAGTTGTCCTCATCGTATGACTGCAGCTGTTTGTTTTGTAAACAAATAGTCTAGTCACAAATAGCAATTATTCATTCTAGATAATTAATTTTTATTTCTTACCTATTACTTATTACTTATATATGTAAATTATGTCAAATTTTTATGGCACATTTGCATTTAAACGAGCTATTCGCTCATATGCGATATGTGGCTAAATAAAGTTACTTACTTACTTACTTATAAAACCCTTTAACTCCTTAATGGGCATGCTCAGCTGAATAGGTCCAAAACGAGGGGAGGTCCACCAAAGTGGGTTTTTCTTAAGTTTGTCAAGCCTCATTTTACCAAACCACACTAATGTTGACATGGTTGGGAAGGTCTTTGCGAGAGGAACATTTTTATAGATATAGAATTCTCTTACTTTTCAAAGGCCATGCGATACAGAGCTGAATAGCTCAAAAACGAGGGGAGGTCCACCAAACTGGTTTTCTTTTTAAGTTTCTGGAGCTTCATTTTCCCAAACCACAGTAATGTAGACATGGTTGGAAAGGACTGTGCAAGAGGAACATTTTGATAGGTATACGATTCTCTAACTCCTCAATGCGCATGAGAAACTTGAAAAAACCGGTTCGGTGGACCTCCCCTCGGCACTCACAAATTCATCAAAATGGTTCTCCAGTCTAGAGTAGTGAAGCAAATCGCTCCAAACTTTGTACGTGAGATGTTAATGAACTCATAAACATCGTTTTCTTAAATCCACAGCACTATACGCACCAGAAAGGGTACATTAGGGCCATATAAAAAAAGAAATGAGTTTTTGACAGAAGTTAATTATGATTGACAGGTCTCGATAGAGTCAAATCAATACTTTTGAGCGTATTGCAAGATAGACGAATTACTTGTATTTCATTCCTGTAGGTTTCAAGCTATAAGATTAAAACGCGAGTATTCTACACCATGCTCAAATTAGAGCAGTTCTAGGCGAAAATTACCCAAGGATGAGTTGCGGACCTATGAGAGGGCCATCTCGGACAAGCTTCTGTAAACTGTAAGTACACACACTTTGAGCTCTGCTATTTTTTCCTTAATTGCACCCTTGAAACACCGCACAGGGGCATTCCAACTATTGGAAGATGTTTGTAAGGTGCTCGGGCACCATTCTAAAACATTCTCCTCGCACGAAAAACGAAGGCTTCTGCGCAGGCTCTGGTCAAACTTGAAGGGTGCTCTGTTGACCATTGACCATACTTGGAGGGCCTCGTAA